ATCATCCTCCCTGGTTGAGAATTCTTAACGTGAGGCGATGAAGAAGCCTAAGCTCAGCCTGGCTTTGGCGGATAGCAGTGGTGCGATCGGTGAGGTCGTCCTTGACGGAGCTGACGTTGGTGGTGACGCAGAGCTCAAGCAGAACCAGCCGGTGATTCACATCCTACCCTTTCGCACCCAAGCCCGCGGGAGGATCTCGAAAAATCGAAACCCTATACTATTAAAGGGTACTTTGTAGGAGCCCAGCCCATAAAACCGCTATAAATAGCCTGTGACCCCTTTTGATCCCTTTGAGGAGAGCCGTTATCGGAACCCCAAAAGCTAAAGGGATCCCCCCCATATACTATTCAGGGATCTACTTTCTAGAATCCTGGGAAACGACCGCCATCTACTATTAAAAGGTACTTTGTAGGAACCTAAGCCCTAAACCCTAAACCACCATCAAGGGATATACTTTCTAGATTCCTGGGAAGCGATGGTCATCGACGGAACAGGACTGAGGCTGGCGCACCAGGAGCGCCTGTCGGCTGCTTGTGGGTACTTTGGGGCCAAAGTATACACTACTTGGGGGGGTTTAGGGTTTAGGGGTTTAGGGTTGAGGGTTTCAAGGAACTTGAGGGTCATGGGACTTAATAAGTACGGTTGTAAGTACCTTAATTGGGGTTACAAGTAATTCTATAAGTATAGTTACCTTGTTTAGAATGCTAGTTAAGTCCCATGAATCTTTAAGTATTTGGGTATATGGACCCGTAGGGTAACATACTTATATGGGCAGTTGACTAAATTAGGGTCGCCTTTTAGGTCCCCCAAAATAGTAGAGGACCCGTATTTAGAGGATTACCCATGTGACTGTTTAGCTCGGGTGTTTAGATGGTTTTTCTTTATAGGGGGTGCTGCCGGGTTTTCTTGTCGGCTGTTTGGTTTTATGATCCAGAGAGGCCAGTACTCCTGAAGTGGCCCTGTTTTCCATGATTCAAGGAATCTCCGGAATTCAGAGGAATTGGTCTCTCGGGCAATTGTGCAGGGCTTTGGGGATTCAGGGTTCAGGGCACAAGGTTTTCGGGCTTCTCTCTCCTGTGTGGTTTCGGGATTTCGGAATCAGAGTGTTGAGACCCCCGGGAGGATCCAAAAAGAGATCCCTTAAGGGGGTCCTATAAAGTAGCCTTTAGTAGTTAGGGTCCCCAAATTAGGGGATCAACTTTCTAGATCCTAAACCCTACACCCGTATAAAACCCTATGATCCCTTTTTAGATCCCTTTAAGGAACCCCCTCCAAATTAGGGGATCTACTTTCTAGATCTTTCCGGGGGTCTGGGTATTAAGGTCGAGGAATTGCGTGTTTGGGCGTCCAAGGTTTATATCTCCCCCCCTGCCCTGCACTAATCCATACTACTTTAGGGTTTAGTTTAGGGGTTTAGGGTTGAGGGTCTACTTTCTCGATCCCCTCGGGGGTCGGGAGTGCTGTAGGGCTCAGGGTTGAATGATCCAAGGATTTTCAGTTCACACAGGAAGCCCAGAAACTTAGATGGAGTCAGACTGACTTTCTAGGGTTCCTTATGCCGTAATTTTGGAGCATGTGAATGATAAGGTTCTACACAACCATAGCAAAAAATATATAAACGCTCGCACAACTCCAGAATCCCAGTGTACCTTCTGGCTTCTGCTTTCTGAGTTTAGATTCGGGGGGCCTCAGATCTCACAGCTGCTTATCATCAAGCTGAACGTGCACAGACCCCCGGGGAGGATCTAGCAAGTAGATCCCCAATTAGGGACCCTAACTACTAAAGGGTACTTTATAGGAACCCCCTTAAGGGATCTACGTTTTGGATCCTCCCGAGGGTCTGGGTGTAGGAAGCCACGGAAGGCATCTACTTCCTAGATCCTTACACACACGAGAAAAAGGAACAACCACCGTCATCAGATCCTCCGCCGAGAGGGTCCCTAAACCTTGTAAACCCCAAAAGCCACTACAAACCGTAAAGAACACAAAAGACCCCATAACAACATCAAAAGCCGTGCCAAAGCACAGATAACAATCCTCTAGTACCCACTCTGTGCCTGAAGGTCCGATGAGATACGTGAAAACGCCCCAACATGTTTATGACGTCCGCCAAAAGCGCGACATCAGAACCATGCAAAGCCACTATTTGGGTTTAGGGTTTAGGGAAACCCTATAAGACACCTGCAAAAACTCTTTAAGAAGCTCGTTCAACCACCTACAAATCACCAGACTTCTTTTAGCACCCTGAATCCCGGCAACCACTCAATGGCCACGTTAGAATCTCCGGGAACACTCTAAACACCGTGTACAAAGCCCTACGAAAGCCACCAACAACGGAAAAACACCATCTGAACCCCCACACCCCAAACCCCCTCAACCCTAAACCCCGAACCCTTAAACTCTAAACCCCTAAACCCCGAACCCTAAACCAAAAAACCCTAGACCCCTAAACCCCCAAACCCCGAACCCTTAAACCCCAAAGCTTAAAACCCCTAAACCCTAAACCCCTAAACCCCCAAATCTTGAAACCCTACGTTTTTTGTTTATCGGGAGGAGCCCGAAGTTTCCAGGCGCTGCCTGGCCCCTCTCGGGCGGCGCAGGATCCGGCTCGGCCTTGCTTTGGGACTTTGTGGGTTTAAGGGTTTAGGGATTTAAGGGTTTAGGGGTTTAGGGGTTTAGGAGACTTAGGGGTTAGGGGTTTAGGGTTTGGGACTTTGTGGGTTTAGGGATTATAGGGGTTTAAGGGTTGTGGGGTTTAGGGATTTAGCGTTTAGGGGGTTTTAAGGGTTTAGGGGTTTAGGGTTTGGGACTTTGTGGGTTTAGGGGTTTAAGGGGTTTAGGGGTTTAGGGGGTTAGGGGTTTAGGGGTTTAAGGGTTTAGGGGTTAGGTTTTTGGGGTTTAGGGGTTTAGGGTTTAGGTTGGATACTGCCCCCCACTCTGTAACAGTTGAGCCTGTATAAGGCCCTTAATAGTAGACCTATTAGACTGTTACTGTATGGGGGCCATTATAGAACCCTGCGGTCCCTTAAAAGGGACCCTATAGTCCCCTTTACCCGATTAAAGGGGACCCCATGAAAGAACCCTGTAGACCCGTAAAAGGCCTACAAAGAAACCCCATTATAGAACCCTGTCCTCCCCCTAAATAGGGGACCCTAATATAGTACTGTAAATCGTAGGATCCTTATGATGAACCCCAAAAGAACGTACCCGCTTACCTTCGGAAAGCCTCAGATCTCCGACCTCGGCCTCGGCTACCAGGGCTGTGACGGCCGAGGCCTCGGCTGTTTTTGTTGTTTTTGCTTTTTAAGAGGAGTAAACTCTAAATTCTGAACCCCTAAACCTTAAACCCCTAAGCCTTAAACCCCTAAACCCCTAAACCCTTAAACCCTTAATCCCTAAACCCCCTAAGCCCTAAACCCACCTGAACTTTTCTTTTTCAGGCTTCATGTGCGCCTTTTGCTGTTCTTCATGGGTTTAGGGTTTGGCATGTCCTTTTTTGGGTGACTTCTTTACTCTTGAGCGGTTTGCTTGCTTTACTTTACTTAGCTTTATGTTGAGGGCGCATTTTCTCGAAATAGTTCCTTTAGCGCTATACTCGCATTTCCACAACGTTCCATATCGTCCGCTTGGGGTTTTAAGTTCACAGCTTTTCTTGGCACAGCTTTTCTTGGAACGTTTATTGTGATTTTAATCAGCCTAAACCAACAAACCTTGAAACCCTGGAACTACGGTTGATGATACAAATCCTGCATTACCCCACAGTAAGGACTATGCCGTAATTCCCCATAGCTTAGGGTCCTTAAGGTAAATGCAGGATTTATATCATCAACCCCTAAACCCCTAACCCCAAAACCCCAAACCCTAAGCCCTAAACCAGTATCAGGGACCCCTCACCTGTAGAAGCTTGGAACGCCAGCTCTAGAACCCTAAAGGGGCCCTATACCCTTATACTATGAATCCCTATATGGTATATGAACCCTAAAGTAGAACCCTAAAGCTTGAGGGGTCTTATGCATAGACGCGACACCCCCGTGCGCAAGCCTCCGGAAGAGCATAGACCCAACAGCTACCCAACAGGAGCTCCGGTAGGGCCAATGTCTGTATACTTGATACTGGTTTAGGGCTTAGGGTTTAGGGTTTGGGGTTTAGGGGTTTAGGGGTTGATGATATAAATCCTGCGTTACCTTAAGGATCCTAAGCTGTGGGCAATTATGGTACAGTCCCTTACTATGGGTAATGCAGGATTTTATATCATCAACCGTATGTATACTACAAGGACTGTACAGATAAGGGTTTAGGGTTTGGGGGGTAGGGTTTCGGGTGTTAGAAGAGGCTTCTGGGGTGTATTATAACCCTAAACCGTAAACCCATACGCGGCCCTAAGGAATAATGAAACCAGTTCGCTAAACTTCTAAAGTACTTGGAGAGCTTAACCCCTCAGGGGGGGGACCCTGAACAATCCAGGGGGTTCGAAAACCCTCGAATCGCAGGCTGATCGGGTTTAGGGTTGTAGGGTTTACTGTTTAGGGTTCTAGGCTTTGGTGCTTGTGGTTTTAGGGTCTAGAGTTTGGTGTTTCGGGCTTTCGGGTCGAGGGTGGAGGCAGCGCATCTGAAATTATCGGGGTTCTTGTTAAGGGATTCAATTTAAGTTACCATAATAGGGATCTTTGGTAAATAATATGGCTTCCTTATTATGGTAACTTAAATTACACCCCTCAACAAGAACCCCAGTGATTGCGGGTCTGGTGGCCTGCGCAAGGGCCTAGGATAAGCGCTGAGCGGATCTCGCACGAACGTGAAGAGCACATCTTCTGTTGTGGCTGAGTGGGTGCCTTCAGCGTTCTTGGATGGACAACTCTTTTGTCGAGTTCATGAGCCCCAACAGGGGTAATGTCATCCCAAAAAGTGTAAGGTATACTGATCCAGGTACGAAGGGACGCGAAGGCCCTAAACCCCTAGAGCCCGAACCCGAAAAGCCTAAAGCACCGAACTTGTTTTGCACGCAGCCACCGCTGGAAGAAGCGTCGGTCACCTGGGCTCTTGGTAAAGATCTTACTTCAAGTTACTACAATAGGGATCTAAAGTAAAAAAGGATTCCGACTTATAGTGACTGAAATTCATCTTCCTTTACGCCCTGAACCCTCAGCAGGAACCTTTTGCTGGGAGTCATTTTAACAACAAACTTCCTTAACACCATCCCAGCCACAGGGCATCCCCTCCGACTGGGCGAGGGCATCGGAAGGGCTACCTGAGCTTTGAAGTAACCAGTTTTTAGGGTTCAAGGGTTAGAGTTTAGGGGCTTACTTTTATAAGCTCCTTTTCATACAGAACCAATCCAAAATGAGGTATCAGGATCCAGCTACCTGCCACGTAGGATGAGCCCGACCAGCCTGATCCTCGGTTTAAGGGTCGATGGGTTTAGGGGGTTTCTGGGTTCGGAAACCATATTATCTACTATAGATCCCTATTATTCTACTTTTTATCCCTTAACCAGAACTTAGTTAGGGCTTGGGGGTTTTACGGGTCGGAGGGTTTAGGGTGCGTCCCAGAAAAGGTCTGTAGATGCGGACAATGGAGCTTTGTAAAGAAACATTAATGAAGATATGTACAGGCATGTATGTGGAGGCCTATGGGGGTTATAGTGAGGGACCTTAACTACTAAAGGGTACTTTATAGGAACCCCTTGAAGGGATCTCCTTTTTGGATCCTCCCGGGGGTCTGGGTAGCTACAACCTTAACACCTCAACTTATAATTACTTATAACCCCAAATAAGGTACTTATAACTGTACTTACAAAAAAAGCCCTCATAACAGACACCCTCATGCCGAGCAACGAAGACTGTGGTTTGTCACAGCGTAGCCGACCTTGCGGAGGAGTCCCTTCACGACAGCAGACATTGATTCTCGATCATATACCTGGGTTGCTCTTTAAAAGGATTCAAGGTTTAGGGCCGTTTACGGGCTGAGGGCCTGGGTTGTTGAGGTTGGGGGTTTAGGGTTTAGGGGTTTAGGGCTTAGGGCCTGGAATGAAAAGGGCGGCTAGGACTATTTTATGAAGCAACATACGCTCCGGAAGAAGTAGACTAGGACTTTGGGGCATAATGTGGGAAACCATATCATGGCCACTGTTATGACTGATTTGTCTGACCCTTACATTACCCTAAAGCGGAGTGAAGATATCCCACATTGCCAGCAAGATACTTGCACAAGCACGCAGCCCACGCGGCGATCCAGTAGGAGCTGCCTGGCACCCTTTAGAACAGCTGGCTCGCAGGAGTTCACGAAGATGTGCAGTAGATCAACAGTCTCCTCCCGGCCCAGATGTGAGGCAACTTCATGATCCAGGGTAGAGCTTCTTGCAAGAATGTTTCCGCGGGCCCCGGCTACGAAGCCTCCAACGGCGAATGATCCAAGCATCTTGGAACGCATAGAGCCCAAAGCCACATTCTTAAGCACCACCTGCGTGTTGTTGTGGCTCCCAGAAGCAGCGATGCCATTGATACGTAGGGTATCCTTGATTCGCTTCGCCCACTTGGGCAACGCCTCGAATGCCAAACCCCTTAAGCGACCTTCGGGCACCATGAAGGTAGCCGACAGCATACACTCTCCCAGGGTTGCCCCTGCGTCCACGTATGTAAATGGCGCCTTTACATCAAAGTGCAGTAAGATGTCGGACACTTGTCTCAAAACGCCGAGCACAGAATTTTCACATCTTGCCAAGCACTCGCTGCGGATGCTGTCGCTGAGGAAGTCGCGGTCCGTGCCCACGTGAAAGACAATCAAGTCTCTGGCGGCGCTGTGGTTCACAGCATCAGCATGCGCAGTTGCTGCAGCAAAGGCTTCGTCCACATCCCAGAATTTCGCGCAATGCCTAGACATGCAGTGGCCACGATTAGCAAACGACTTCCAGGAAAGCATCTTGGGGAAGCAAATGCTCACACTCTCCGGCAGCAGCATGGTGTCCAGCAGCTGCCAGAATAAGGGCGACCGAAGGTCAATCAAGAATGATGCCACCACCTGTTACGGCACTATATTAGAGTTATATGGTGTTATACTACGTTGTGTTATATTATATTGCATTATATTTAATTATTTTACATTATACTGCCTTGCATGATCTCTTATTTTTCTATAGCATATTATATTCGCCTCGGCCCCGGCCGAAGCGGTCAGAGGTTCTTTGGAACCCCTCAAACATGGACATCGTGGGGGGGGGGGGTCCCTCTG